GGGGGGGGGGGGAGGAATCCCTGCAGGGAGCCGTGAGTGACAGTCACCGCTCTCTGCAGGGATAGATCGAGAAGTGAGCGAGCAGCGGTATGTGTCACTTCCCGATCTATTGAGCCGACGTGTGACAGTCTCATTGTCACAGGTCGGCTCAGATTATGAGGCCGAGTGATTTTCATTCACCTCATAGTTCTCCTTTAACTACCTCCGGCCGTTGTGTATACACTCGGGCGCGCGCGGGAAATGCCCATTATATGAAAACAGGCAGCGATGCCCGTTAATATACAAGCGATCGGCCGGCTATAGAGCCGGCGGATCGCTTGTATGAGGTCCCGTGATGTGCGCCCCTCCGCGGCTCCCCCCCTCCCGCTGTCAAGCTGGTCCCGGTCTCCGGTAAAAAAAAAAATAGCAAAAAAATTTAAAGTTTCCCCACCAATTTTTTTAAAGTCCCACCCCTACATACACGCATGTAAACATGCGTCAGGTGCGCATACCTGCGAAAACGACGATTGCGCCCATTACGCCGCACATGTTATATATCGCCGCGAACGTCGGAATGAGAGCAATCATTCTAGGGCCATCAATCACTGATAACACTAAACTGATGAGCTGTAAAAGCTTTTAAAGCTTCGCCTATGGCCAATTTTGTGTATGGTAGTTTTCTGCGAAGCAGCGCTGAATACTGAAAAATGGCCGGGACAGGAAGGGGGTGTAAACACCCCGGTCAGCAAGCGGTTAATACAAAACATAGTGAATACCCTGTTTCCCCGAAAATAAGACCTAGTTGTGACCATTCCCAGGGCCGGTGGTGGCATAAGGGGGGAACTTGAAGAGCCACAGGAGAGAATCAGCGGTGCCAATGAAGCCGGCGCTAGAGGACGCGAGGCGGCAGCGGAGGGAGCAGAGTCGCATAAGCCGATGCCTCCTCTATAGCCCCGCCTCCTGTCACAGGCGGAGTGATACCAAATGCACTCCGCCTGTGAGGAATCCATCGTGAAAGCGCGCTTCGCTCATCCTGGCCAGCGATTGGTTACCCCTGATTGCTTCTGATCACCATATTCCTAACTTTGCTATTTTGGATTATTTAATTTGAATTTGCGTTAACTTTGGATTGTTGTACATAAAAAAAAAAAATAAGACCTAGCATGTTTTTTTAACCAAAAAAAATATAAGACAGTGTCTTATTTTCAGGGAAACACGGTACGAGCATCAGATACTTGCCAAACGCTTCGTCCCGCGCTTTCTCAAGTCTTTCCATTGCCTTCCGTTCTTCTCTCTGTCTTTCCAGGGTCGGCACATCAACCTGCAGAGGGGCAAAGTCGCTGAGTTTGGTGTAAGAGTAGCAGATATCAGAGGTTACCATTATTATTATACAGGATACAGGATTTATAGAGCGCCAACAGTTTGCGCAGCGCTGTACAATATAAGACATTACAATCACAATACAATTCAAGACAAGATGGTACGGAGGGCCCCGCCCCTGAGGGGCTTACAATCTAAAAGGGGAGGGGCCAGTGATACCATAATTCAGGATGAAGAGCCAGCCTACCCCGATGGTCCGAACTTTGGCATTGAAGATCCGGCTTTGTCTTTGCTGTTCCCTGTTCCTTCTCCTTTCGATGGCTGCGGATTCCTTAGGATCGACGGGCAGGTCTAACTTATACATGGCTGCAGGAATAGAGACGGAGCACTTTGTTGTATGAGCTGATTAACGATTGTATCCTATGTTCTTCCAATACAGATCAATACTCTCAGAGGTGCGATATCAATACTCTTCAAATGTCACAGTACATGACTGCAGTGCTCTGTAAGTATACTCTTAAAGGCGTAGTCCACCTAAAAAAATAAAATAAATACACCCTCATTAATAAAAGAAAATATGTGCATGAATTATTTTTTGTATTCAGTCCTGCAGAGCATTGCAACCACGATCAATAAATCACGGGTGCAAGGGGTTCTAAAGCTGAACTGCGGGAGTTTATTTTTTGCTATGCAAAAATAAATAACCTCTAACGATGGGTGTCCCATGTGTGGCTGGTGCTGCATTCCTTACACCTCTTACTTTCATTCATCCCAGACACTACTGTACATGGGCGTCCCGAGGCCGGGTGACACCCAGAGCGGAGAAGGGGGTGACACCCCGCCGTGACGTCATCGCGCATGCGCTGTCATCTTATTGACGCCTGCCGGCGGCCATCTTGGTGATGGACGTCGGCAGAGAGAGGAGGGGACGTTCACACATGGTACACCCATTATTAATGCAAATCCCTAATCTCCCCCCACAAAAAAATCCCGGTGTTCAGCTTTAACCTTTCCCTTCTCTATCCAAAAATTAGGTAAAATGTTTTGTCTCTAGATACATTTTTAACATTTTAGATGTTCCCTGTAACAAAGTCAATTTGAGTTCAGTTTCACTTTAACTTGCAGGTGCCCCCCTCCGCCCCCCAAAAAACAAAAGATCACTAGAGAAGAATATTATTATAATGACAAGACATGCAGCATATAACACACATCTGGAACAGATACCTGAACAGGTAAGTAGATCTGAAGACAAAGTTCTATGAGCACACACAGACCTGCAACTCCTGGAGCGCTCCTCTCCAATAAAACAACATTGGTCACCATGGAGACGGACTCTACCATTCCTGTGATCTCCATACAAACACACGGCAGAGGGAAAGGGGAGGGAGGGGGGAGTTATACAACCCTTATTTTAATTTTTCATTCTTCTGTAAGAAAATATCCTTTTAGGACTAAAATGATAACTTTAGTTTTATATCAGGCAAAGCTTTGTTATACAGAATGAACGAATATTGTGGCACGAGAAGAGAAAATACTGCTAACGTAAAGCCGGGCACCCCTGTGTTGTGGCAATTTGTGAGCCCTGTGAGGAGACGAGCGGCGGGCGGTCATGTGACCCCGAGGGCGGTCACTTGTGCTGTGTATATAATATATATATGTGTGTGTGGTGACAACTTCATGGTCTCCCAGGATGGGTCACATTACATGCCAACCGCATTATATAATGCATACAGCCAAATGAGATGAGGGAGGTGTAGCGTGGAAGCAGGCATGACGAGGGACAGCCACTAGGGGGTCCTTCCTCTTAGCTGGTGGACTTGTTTCCATGACAACGGTGCAGCGTTGTCAACAACATGGTGGTTCATTCCTGAACTTCATTGCACGCAGTGAAGACTTGGAAGACGAGGCGAGAAGTTATTGTTTTGGTATAATCAGGATGTATGTATGTACGCTTGTATATGGAATGTGGACACTGATATTGTTGTTGATTCAATTCCTAAATGGATTTTCTAGACAGTCATTCTGTTTTGGCTTGGTGTAGAACCGCTCTGGCCCTCCAGCTGTGGTGAAACTACAAATCCCATGATGCCTCTGTCTCTGGGAGTCATGCCTTTGGCTGTGAGAATCTTGCAATGCCTCATGGGACTTGTAGTTCCACAACACCTGTACTTTGCCCACCCTTGGGTTAGACACTGTGTTACATTTTTATTGCAGTCTAGTTCTCCATTAGGGTGATGCATGCCCTCTATACGGTGACCATTGTCACCGAACCAGCAAGGGCTCGTTCACACCGTACGCCGCGTGTTATATGCATAACCTGCATGTGTTGTTAGAATGCATCGTAGTCCTTCTTTCTTCTACTTCTAGGGTAACCTATGCGCTGCAGGACGTTGCGATGTGTTGCAGCGCGTCGGAGTTCACTGTGCAAAAATAGAACATGTCCTATGTTTTTTTCAGCGCACACCAACGCAGCTCTTTGAGCATGGGACATGCTGCTTGTCTTGTCTTTGCATTGGGACTGCGTTAGGCAACAATGCCCAATGGGACTGGTGTGAACGAGCCCGAAGGGGTGGGAAATCCAGTACAAGAGGTAAGGGAAATCGTCCAATATGGATACCTGTTCCGGGGACAGCTGTCTAATAGGGATGAGTGCTGGTTCGCACCGATCCCGACGGGGACACGGAGACCAGTAGAAATCTAATTGAGGTTCTAGCTGCTTTCTATGCAATGCAGGCAGATGATGGCTGGTTGGAGGAGCCGGCAGGGTGCTGTACATAGCTTCCTGAACACATCACATCGCCCTGTCTCTGTATTTCTCTCGAGAGCTCTCAGCCCTGATGTAAGCAGTGGGCTGGCACTGGGGAGGAGTTATGCAAAGTAGAAATGCCTTGATGGGTGGGTATCAGTCTGGGGAAGTGGACATTCCTAGGCATGCAGACCACCCTAGGTAACACCCCACATGTGATGCTGAGCCTATGTGATTGGAAAAAAACTTGAATCCAATGAAAGAAAGGGGCGGGGCCAGGGACAGTCGGGTTGGGGAGGAAACGGCTAGATGATGCTGGGTGTCCTCCAGCCATGGAATGAGGCGGGTTCTATCTGACTTGGTGCAGCTTCTAATGCACATTGGGAGGAGCTCCCAGCGTGCAGTGACATCAGAGGAAGAGGAGAGGAGGCGGGACAACTGTGCAGGACTGAAGGGAAGGACGGAGGTCAGATTTTAATAACTTTGTCATTTTATACAGATGACTGATGATGGAGGAAGTGACAGAAGTGAGGACTCCAGTGGAGGAGGAGGAGGTAAGTCTCACAATAAGTTTAGCAATTGTTTACAATATTTCTATTGTGATGGAGTGTGTTTATGAAGGACTCAGATATATAAAATATGAAAAAATATATTTATTTGATTTTAAATTCTTGTTGGTTTAAAAGATTCACTCACAATAAGCTGTAGATGTTTAATCAGTTTTTGTATATTGTCATTCCATGACGGCGTTTTGTTGCCTCCATATTGGATCTAATGAACGAATCACTGGGCGAGGTGGCAAGCGGCATGACAGTGGTGGAGGGAGGAGCAAGCGGCATGACAGTGGTGGAGGGAGGAGCAAGCGGCATGACAGTGGTGGAGGGGGGAGCAAGCGGCATGACAGTGGTGGAGGGAGGAGCAAGCGGCATAAAACACTCAAAGAGCCATTTGGACCCGTTTCCCACAGAAAAGAAAACGCCGGGGGCCACAAACCCTTTTGACGTCTAAAATGAAGATAACACGGAATATATCGTTTTTTTTTTACATTTATGCAATGTATAGCATGTATATAGGTATATGTGGGCTTAGTAACGCGCTGGACTCTGGGCTTAGTAACGCGCTGGACTCTGGGCTTAGTAACGCGCTGGACTATGGGCTTACCTGAGACCCTGCAGAGCCCACATGAGAGTGACCCTGCAGAGCACACCATAGATCCTGCACAGCCCATCTGATACTCTCTATGGTGGGCTCTGCAGGGCCTCAGGTGGGCTGGTCGCCGGGGTCACTTTCCCTGTACCTCCTCCCAACACCTCTTACCGGCTGTTGCTGGGGCCTGGCCTCCTCCACCCCCTCCCCTGTCACCTCTGCCATGCCACCCCTGGTGCAGCTGATACTCATGTAAGAGGCCCCCAAGACTGCCCAGACCCCTCTTATGGGTACCAGCCGTACCCCCCCTGATGGCGGTGTCCTATCAAAGTGTGTGACCGGTGACGTGGTCACACATTTCAATGCAATCCCGCCCAGTTTTTCGGCGGTGGAATGTGTGACCGCCAATAGGTGAAGCATTCCAACGCTTTTACAGCTGTTCCAGGGAAGATCGGCATCACAAATCGTATGTGCATGAGAACCAATCTGACCTGGAACAGCTGACCGATCCTGAAATGTCACTTCTATCCGACTGCGATCTCACATTCCACCGCACTCACAAAGTCAGCGGGGACCCTGCACTGCCGCATATTCCACCAGGGGGGGGGTGCCCAGGACTGGACCTCACTGGGCCCCCCCCACAGCCTCAGGCCCCAAGGCCCCAGCGGTAGTTCCGTCCCTGAACAGGGAGCTGCAGCAGAGGGATAAAAGAGCCACATGCGCCTCTAGAGCCGCAGGTTGCTGACCCCTGGGTTAGGTTATGTGTGAAGAACTAGCGGACCATCTCATTGTGATTTGCTGAGCTCCGGACATTTAGCATCTCCCCCGTTTTCCTGCAGATGTCAGGTGACCTCTTCTGCACAGCGGTCAGCGAGGAGAAGCTGCAAGAAGCTTGTCAGAAATCCCGAAGACGGATATTCGGGTCCAGCAAAACCTTTTTAGCCTTGGATGTGAAACCCCATCGGCCCAATTCCTATGAGGATATTGTGCAAGAGAAGATGACGGAGCAGTACGTTTTTTATATACAGTAGTCAGATGTACTTCCATTGTGCAATACAAGCTCATGATGCTATCTACCGCAGTAATGGGCAGCAGACAGAGCTGAGCCACATTCAGCTGCTTTGTTACTTTGGGTTTATTCTTCCAAGTTTTAGAGTGCCGTCTTAAAGGGGAAAAGGGAGGTCAGGTACTGATGTTGGGGGAGGAGCTCGCAGTCTCCGCTCTTATTCATCCCAAAGGTGTTCTATGGGGTTGAGGTCAGGACTCTGTGCGGCCAGTCACGTTCCTCCCCCCCAAACTCCCCCCTCCATGTCTTTATGGACCTTGCTTTGTGCAGTGGTGCGCAGTCATGTTGGAACAGGAAGGGGCCGTCCCCAAACTCCTCCCACAAAGTTGGGAGCATGAAATTGTCCAAAATGTCTTGGTGTGCTGATGCCTTAAGAGTTCCCTTCACTGGAACTAAGGGGCTAAGCCCAGCCCACAAAAAAATAACCCCCCAAACTTTACACTTGGCACAATGCAGTCAGGCAAGTACCGTTCTCCTGACAACCGCCAAACCCAGACACGTCCATCGGATTGCCAGACAGAGAAGCGTGATTGGTCACTCCAGAGAACACGCCTCCTCTTCTCTAGAGTCCAGTGGCGGCGCGCTTTACACCACGGCATCCCAGGCTTTGCATTGCACTTGGTGATGTGCGGCTTGGATGCAGCTGCTCGGCCATGGAAACCCATTCCATGAAGCTCTCTACGCACTGTTGTTGCGCCAATCTGAAGGCCGCATGGAGTTTGGAGGTCTGTAGCTATTGACTCTGCAGACAGTTGGCGACTTCTGCGCACTGTGCGCTTCAGCATGCGCTGACCCCGCTCTGTCATGTGACGTGGCCGACCACTTCCAGGCTGAGTTGCTGTTGTTCCCAGTTGCTTCCACTTCGTTATAATCCCAGTAACGGGTGACCGCGGCGGAATATTTAGTAGCAAGTAACCTGTTGAACATGGAGGCTGCCATTTCTGTTCTCTCCTAAAACATATATAGCTTCCTGGCTGTTATTATGACCCTCAGGATGCACTACTTTGAATCAATGACCCGTAAACGTATGCAGGACTTTACCGCTATCGTCCTAACCTACATACGGTACTTGTTTTAGGTCACAGCCTCAGACATCACTGAGCTGAGAGGGTCAAAATAACAGCCAGGCAACCAGTAAATGTAAAGGAAGTCATCAATGGCAGCCCTCATATTTGCCCTTTGATAGGTTGACTTTAATAATGGGTTGGCCATCTTCAATTTGTCTCCGACTTTCCTTTCCTAGGCGAGAGGATCATCTTTTAGACTTGGAATTCCATGTGGGATGTGGAGTGTTTGGTCTGTCTGTGTGTCCACTTATATCTAATACTATCCTTGCAGCTATGAGCGAGGCCTGCACTGCCTGTCACAGGAAGAATGGGAGAAAGCTGTCATCTCATTCACAAAAGCGATCAATCTGTGTCCGGAAAAGGTACGAATGCTTCTGAAGCTTTATTATGGCATTGTAGTTTTTTTTTATAAGGTGTGTATGCTAATGGGCAGGGACTGCTGACACTTGTAGTGCCCTCCCGCACAGGACACCAGGATTGTCATATAATGGACAGGGACTGCTGACACTTGTAGTGCCCTCCCGCACAGGACACCAGGATTGTCATGTAATGGAAAGGGACTGCTGACACTTGTAGTGCCCTCCCGCACAGGACACCAGGATTGTCATATAATGGACAGGGACTGCTGACACTTGTAGTGCCCTCACATACAGGACACCAGGACTGTCATATAATGGACAGGGACTGCTGACACTTGTAGTGCCCTCCCGCACAGGACACCAGGACTGTCATATAATGGACAGGGACTGCTGACACTTGTAGTGCCCTCCCGCACAGGACACCAGGATTGTCATATAATGGACAGGGACTGCTGACACTTGTAGTGCCCTCACATACAGGACACCAGGATTGTCATATAATGGACAGGGACTGCTGACACTTGTAGTGCCCTCCCGCACAGGACACCAGGACTGTCATATAATGGACAGGGACTGCTGACACTTGTAGTGCCCTCCCGCACAGGACACCAGGACTGTCATATAATGGACAGGGACTGCTGACACTTGTAGTGCCCTCCCGCACAGGACACCAGGACTGTCATATAATGGACAGGGACTGCTGACACTTGTAGTGCCCTCCCGCACAGGACACCAGGACTGTCATATAATGGACAGGGACTGCTGACACTTGTAGTGCCCTCCCGCACAGGACACCAGGACTGTCATATAATGGACAGGGACTGCTGACACTTGTAGTGCCCTCCCACACAGGACACAAGGACTGTCATATAATGATGAGTGGGCCTGAGCTCTGTACTGCGCTAAGCAGCAGGGTTAATTTTTTTTCCCCTTCATGTCCGGCCACTGATTTTATACACAACCCTCGGCATGGCTCGTAGTAAGTTTGGATTTGACACCCCTGTGGTACATTCTCCATAATGCCTACTGATCAACATTTCAGTCCAGCTCCCAGGAACAAAGTTACCGCCATCCACTAGTCCCGCCCAGACCGTGCCCAATTACCAAACTGGCCCACCCAAACCCCACCTCTAATTGTGCAGGTACTGCCCACTCACAACGCTCATCACCATAATGAGTGCCCTATTGAATTATTGAGCATGCGCTCAACTAGGGATGCACCGATACCTATACTAGTATCGGTGCCGAGTATTTAGGCTCGTACTCGTACTTGCCCAAATGCTCCGATGCCTAGCCCGATACTTCCAGTATCAGGAAGCCGGACAATGCGTCTTTACACGGCGCCCGGCTTCCTGTATGGCCAGGAAGCCGGCTCCATGCTCCCTCATCACCCGGTGACGAGGGAGCATGGAGACGGCTTCCCTGCTAATTGGGAATATCTTCCCAAAGCAGCCAGGCAGCAGATACTAGAACAAGTGGAAATAAGGTGCTGGGTTCAAATGATCAGAAGGTCGGTCAGATCGGCATAAGGCGCAATGGCTGTAGTGAGGTCTCTCTTGACAGAAATGAGGGTCCTGACGTGAAGATCCACGTGTGTGAAGTCTAATAGCAAAGGCTTTTGCTGCTCTCTCTCCTGGCTATACCCTATACTAGGGATGCACCCATACCGGTCTTTCAGTATTGAGTACCGATATTTTATTTTCCCGGTACTTGCCGATACCGGATACCGAGTACAGGAAGTCCCATTCAGGAAGCCAGTCAGCGTGTAATGACTCGCCACCCGGCTTCCTGATTAGCCGGGAAGCCGTCCCCATGCTTATCGTCACTTGTGACAAGAGAGCATTGAGCCGGCTTCCAGGCCAATCAAGAAGCCGGGCAGCGTGTAATAACGCGTTTCCCGGCTTCCCGATTGGATAGCTTCTCGACCAATCAGGAAGCCGGGCAAGGTGTCATTACACGGCGGCCAGCTTCCTGATTGGCTAGTAAGCTGGCTCCATGCTCTCTCATCACCAGGTGACGAGGGAGCAGGGAGACGGCTTCCCTGCTAATTTGGAAGCCGGGTGGCTTCCTTAATGGGACTTTCGGTATCAGTATTCGGTATCGGCGAGTACCGAAAATGTTTTATCGGTACTCGATACCGAAAAACCGGTATCAGTGCATCCCTACGCTCAAATAAGGGTGATACTGTGATTCCAGTTCTTCACCCAGGGCACAGCATCATCACCAATGAGGTCCAAGATGTGGGACTGTTCTGGCAAATCCAGAACAGTTGGCATCTATGATAATGTAGAATACGTTTCTGATTCCCCCCTGGGGATTGTATTGATGAGATATCACCACCTGAATCACCTTCCATGCCATGGTCATCACGAGATCAGAAGATGGCGTCACCAATGGATTCACTATCCTCCAATGAACCCCGTGTAATAACACTGTTGTATTGCAGATAGAGCTGTATGTCCAAAGAGCCGAAGCATTTCTCCAGCTCGGAGACTTCCAGTCTGCTGCTGTCAACCTACAGAAAGCCTGTGCTGACCCCAACCCGCCACTAGAGCACATAGAACTGCTGGCGGCCACATATTACCTGCAGGTAAGGTCAAGGTCAGCGGTATAGTACCGCGTTTCCCCGAAAATAAGACACTGTCTTATATTTTTTTGGGCTCAAAAAAACACACTAGGTCTTACTTTCGGGGTAGGTCTTTTTTTTTAATGTACAGCAATCCGCACTTATTCATGTAAACAAATATGGTGGTCAGGGCAATCAGGGGATGCAGTACCTTTCCGAGAGCAACTTGCTAACCAATCGCTGGCCAGAATGAGCGAAGCGCGCTTTCACTATCGGTTCCTCACAGGCGGAGTGCATTTGGTATCACTCCGCCTGTGACATGGGGCCGGCGCTATAGAAGAGACATCGGCTTATTGTCACGCTTGCTGTAGGTGCGAGTATGGGATCTCAACTGCGGAATGTAGCAGTAAATTGGTGGATGGAGTATACGGCTTCTCAGGTTTGAGTCTCAGGCATCACTCCCAATCTTAAGCGGGGAGTTTGGGACTCTAACATCACAACCGTGGGGAACAGAAAGTAAATTTACGTAGAACTATTGCGTCATAGCCTAGGTTACTGTTAAATGGAAACAGATGATACGTCTGTAGGTGTACAGGTAGAATAATGACACGCAACCTCTAATATGCCAGGAATCTCCTCAATAAGATACAGTTCAGTGCAAGCAAATACAGTCTCTTATCCAGAAAGCGTTTTACAGCAAAAGATCTCTATTCAGGCTTCCCCTGGAGGGGTACTTGCGTTTGGGTGCTTCGGTTGGTGCAAACAGGGAGCAGGTCCACAGGCTGTTCAGAAGGATTGTTCCCCGGCCGAGCTGTAGGTCGTAGAGGCTTGGAAAGGTTTGGGTTCAGGCATAAGGAGGCAGCAGGCGTTCTTACTCCATTAGTGGAACGCCATGCTGCCTCAGATGGAGCTTTAAATAGCCCAGGGATTGGGGCGGAGTTGGTCACTGGACGGAACGGCTTCCACGTTCCACCGTGGAACGCAGGCCGCTCGCTCCGCAAACCGGAAGTCGAGCGGCTTCCGCGTTCCACCGCGGAACGCAATTCAGCCGACCTTGTACATGGGGAGACCCGAGCGGTCTAACCCCTCGGGACTCATTACACTTATGCGGCTCTGCTCCCTCCGGTGCCGCCTCGCTTCCTCTAGCGCCGGCTTCCTTGGCACCGCTGATTCTCTCCCGCCTCTTCAAGTTCCCCCTTATGCCACCACCGGCCATGGGAATGGTCACAACTAGGTCTTATTTTCGGGGTAGGTCTTATATTTTAGCAATTCCCAAAAATAGTACTAGATCTTATTTTCGGGGGAAACAGGGTATTAGAATCTATGTGATACAATGTCAGCAGCCCATAGACAGACAAAGGCATATTGTGTGACTGCTGATTAAAGCAAATTGGACCCCACTGGGGAAATTTGACTTCACTTCCTGTCATCTGTACAAGAAACATGGGGTGCATGTGTCACCAGAACAGGAAGGCCCAGAAAGCAACGGATATATTGTTGTCGGTGTTTTCCTTTCTAGTAAAAATGTGTTTTTTGTTTGTGCCTCCATTTGAAAGATTTCTCATCACTTCCTGTCCTGACAGGAAGGGAAATCTCTCTAATAGGCACACTGACTGCAATAAAAAAAGTGGGCAGAGGCTCTCACGCTTCTTGGCTCGATCCAAAACAAAATACAACAGTTTGGGCTGGAGTTGGACTTAAGATATAGTCACCTTGGCCACTCAGGGCAAAGTTACAGTACCTTTGCTTATTGCAGGTATTTAGAGCGCTGACAATTTACGCAGCACTTTACATAGTTGCACATTCACATCAGTCCCTACCCTCAAGGAGCTTACAATCTAAGGTCCCTATGTCACACGCATACATAGAGGGCCAACTTGGAGAGGAGCCAATTACCCTTCCAGCATGTCTGTGGAGTTGCAAAGGGCTTCCCCTCCCCAACCCATCTTGCCAACGTTCTTCTGTCACGCCTTCCTTCATCGCAGAGGGCACTATAATCCCCATTGGGAGCTAAGGGGTGGTGATGTCACTCCCTCGGTCATGTGACAGTGCACTGGCTTGGCAAGTGGCTGTTGGCCCCCCGGCACTGTCACATGGTAGAAGGTCACATTCTCCCCTATACCTAGAAGCACTGGCTATTACTACTCCAGCATAGGAAGGAGCAGAGGGGCAGCACTGGCAAGGTAGGTATCTGTGTGTTGAAGACCCCCTATGCAAACATACTGTCACTTTGCCCTGAATAGACATGGTGCCTGTGTCTTTTTAACCTGATCATTAGGTTTTCCGAATGTGGAGTGATGCCGCATGAAAACGGTATCCTGGGTATACTGTATATCCTTCATGCAGCATCGTGAGATGCTCTAAAGCTCTAATTTGACTTATATATAGGGATGCTCCGATACCACTTTTTTAAGTACGAGTACCGATACTTTTGATCAAGTACTCGCCGATACCAATTACCGATACTTTTTCTTAAAGGGACAGGTCACATTTTTTCTAAAGCAATACAAACTAATGCTTTAAGGTCACTTTCTTAATATTATGATTCATGAGATGACGAGGGAGCATGACGCCGGCTTCCCAGCCAATCAGAATGCCGGGCGCTGTGTCATTACACGGCGCCCGGCTTCCGGATTTGCTAGCTTCCTGACCAATCGGGAAGCCAGGCAGCGCGTCATTGCATGCTACCCGGCTTCCTGATTGGCCGGGAAGTCGGCTCCATGCTCTCATCACAAGTGACGAGAGAGCATGGAGCCGTTTCCTGGCCAATCAGGAAACCGGGCAGCGTGTAATGATGCGCTGCCCGGCTTCCTGATGCAGGAAGTACTCGTGCTAGGTATCTGAGCATTTGGGCGCGTACGAGTACTCACCCAAATACTCGTTATTGGCACCGATACTAGTATCGGTATCGTTGCATTCCTACTTATATATATATATTTTCCTCTTTGCCTGTATAAACATGCCTTCGGTGGTATTACTAGGCTAAAAGTGGCATTTTGTACTGGCATTGTTGTAGTAATAGTATATACTGTATGTTGTTGTGGCAATCTTGATCTGCCCTGATCTCGTGGCTGTGTTGCTGTGCAGGGACAGAACCTGTTTGATCAGATGTGTCCTATGGATGCTATGGAGTGCTTCACTCGAGCTGCGGAGCTCCAGCCGCAGAACCGACATTATCACATGCGCAGGTAAGACAATGGGCCTCGTGCGTACATGCAATGTTATTAAAAGCGGATGTAAACCCTAACAATGAACTTCTCTTATTTGCTCCCTTTTCACGTTCAATATACCATTGGAAGTGTTATATCTGTTCAATATGTACAAAAGTACCCGTTGAGCAGGTCAGACATCCAGAGTTGTCCTTTGTCCTATGCACACTTCCTTCGTTATCTCATGGAGTCTAATTACACCTCCCAGTTCTTATCTTGGAATTCAGAATAATTGATATCTGTGTTGTACAGATGATGATAGTAGTTGGTATTCAGAAATGTAGTAAAAGATAACTGGGCAGGGCTGACACCACTCAGTCCACAAGAATGCTGTGTGTTGTCAGCCCGCAACAGGGCTTAGCAGCTGAGTGTACTTCTGGCAGATCGACGGGTATTTTTCTCTACTTACCCCTTGGCATCTGCTCACGTCAACCATTTAAGTGGTTCTAAATGACGGGAAGTGGAGGCGGGCTTCCCGATCACATGAGCGCTGTGATTGGCTGTCACTGTGGTCACATGATCCGAAGCCCATCCCACTGGCTTCCGATCATAAACAGTGACTGGGAGCTGTCGGTGACATCTTGATCACTGTGCTGGGATCATTCTAGTGAGTGAATGAGGCATATGCTTACAGTTGATGCTAAGGTCCATCCATCCGCATCCCTTCATCACCACATTATCCAGATACAAGCCAACAGGCTGCACCTCTGCTGTTTATATTCTTGATATCCAACAAGCTTTATTGCAAACTCACAAAGCAAGACTGCGGCACATTGCTATCCTCTAGACCCGCTCTTTTGATGTGTTTCTCCCCAATAGGGCCTTCGGCATGAAGGTCATAACTAAGCCTCTATTGGAGTAGGAGAGTCTACAGTCACAGTCTGACTTTGTGAGTTTGTACTACTTCCAATAAAGCTTGTTTGTATCTAGAGAGCGCCAACCAAACAGTCTGAGAGTCCAAAAACGTTTAATCTTAATATTGTTTTTTCTATGATGTAATTTGTGAAGCAACACACTTTGGGGGCTCAAAGACCCCCCCCCCTTCTTCAGGGCTTTAACATAATAGATAATCATAAGACCTCAATAATGGCACAAACCAGCAAGAGTTAATTATTTGCTGCAGTGACGTATCTATAGCCATAGGAACCCCCGGCAGCTGCTATGGGCCTGGGGGTGGAAGGGGGCCCCATTAGGTTGTTGAGGCAAATTTAACATAGAACATGTAAAGATAACACAGTACTGTATCATTAGGGGTTGGAGTGGTTGATGACAACCCTAGTCCTCTGCGAAGTCTACAGTGTAGGAAAGCTGAGGTCAGCTGCACAAGAGGAGTCTATGGGATCTTTGTGTTAGTCACAGCTGAGAGAGAGCTCGTCAGAGGGCCCCCCCCCCCCATCACATTTTTGCTATGGGGCCCCATTATCTATGCACCGATACCTATACTAGTATCGGTGCTAATGTCGAGTATTTGGCTGAATACTCGTACTCACCCAAATGCTCCGATGCCTAGCCCAATGCTTCCAGTATCAGGAAGCCGGGCAGTGCGTCTTTATACGCTGCCCGGCTTCCTGATTGGCCGGGAAGCCGGCTCCATGCAAGTGACGAGAGAGCATGGAGCTGACTTCCCGGGCCAATCAGGAAGCTGGGCAGCATGTAATGACGCGCTGCCTGGCTTCCTGATTGGTCGGAAGCTTCCTGATTGGTCGGAAGCCAGTGTAATGACGCAGCGGCCAGCTTTCTGATTGGTTCGGAAAGCCGGCTCCATGTTCCCTCGTCACCTCATGACGAGGGAGCATGGAGCCGGATTGCCGGCCAATCAGGAAGCCGGGCGCCACATCATTACACAGCACCCGGCTTCCTGATTCACCAGAAAACCGGCTCCATGCTTTATCGTCACCTAGTGACGAGAAGCATGGGACGGCTTCCCTGCTAATCGGGAAGCTGGGTGGCGAGTCATTACACGCAGCCTGGCTTCCTGAATGGGACTTTCGGTACTCGGTATCGGCGAGTACCGGAAAAAAAACTATTGGTACTCGATACCGAAAGACCGGTATGGGTGCATCCCTAGTATAGGGTATAGCCAGGAGAGAGAGCAGCAAAAGCCTTTGCTATTAGACTTCACACACGTGGATCTTCACGTCAGGACCCTCATTTCTGTCGAGAGACCTCACTACAGCCATTGCGCCTTATGCCGATCTGACCGACCTTCTGATCATTTGAACCCAGCACCTTATTTCTACTTGTTCTAGTATCTGCTGCCTGGCTGCTTTGGGAAGATATTCAGAATGCCTCCGCCTTATGAATAAACAGCTGGAAGAGGAACAGGACAATCCCGATTTATACATCGTGCGGGCCCGGCTCTATGACAACCTCAACAAGGTATTTCTTCATAAAATAACAGCTGTGTCTATGAAAAAACAAAACCCCAAAACACTTACTGCTTTTGGGGCTCCCGTAGCTCTACCGGGCATGCATATGTAGGAGAATTAAAAATATAATTGTACTGGGTTTGGCCACTCCTCCACCTTTCTAGGCACAATCTAGGCATTTGCCTTGGGCGGCACTTTCCAGGGGGAAATGCATTAAGTCTCTGCCATTAAGTCTCAGCTCCCCCACCGTTCTCCCTGCTGGGAGCCCGCTGCAGTCCCTGTCCCCTAAAGGAGAACTATGGGGTCAGGGCTTTTCCCCATAGATCTCCTTAGGGTAACGGGAGGACACAAACTAGCGTCCTCCCGTCACCATAAGCTCAGTATAATGAATACAGAGCTCCATTAATGTGTGTCTTTTATGTCGGCCTGGAGTTCAGCGTTAAGTGTGTTGCATCTTTGGACTTATTGTGCCTTCCAGAACACGATGACCTATCAGGATATACAGAGAGCTCTGTCACTGGACCCGCAGCACCAGGAAGCTCTGAAAATGAAAGACAAGCTAGCGGCAAAGGCAGAAGAGGCAAAGGATAAAGCTGTGAATTATGCCGTGCAGGGGCAGCTACCGGACGCTTTGAAGAAGATCTGTTATGCCATAGAGAACCACCCGTCCTCAGCCAGATATCACATCTTCAGGTACTACTTTTACATTTATAGAACTCCATGACCAAGCCAAGTGCAAAGTGCACTTAAGTGGAACTTAACTTGCTTTACAGTAGTATTAAGGTCTGGGCGTTTTTTTACCTTAAAGGAGAACTATGAGGTGAGTGAAAATCACTATCTATCGGCAGTGTGAGTTCATCTAAGGCACTGCTGCCTCTGATGATGTCACTACTGTGCTGCTTACTGATCTCCATGCTGGAGAGGAAGCTGTACCTGAGCATCTCTAGTGCACAGATCTACCTGCGTCATTCATTTCGGTGGTCTGTGATTGCTGCATCTATCCTGGTGCTTCTTGATCATAGTCCCACCATGTGAGGCAGCAAAGCCCTGCTCCTCTACCAAAATGGACATCTCCATACAGAGACACAGTGCAGAACAAGGCATGGTAAATCAGTAATGGAGAAAGATCAGCTGCAGGGAGACCACGGGCAATACTGGTGACTTGACCTTTGCCCTTTTGTTTGCTTCCACAATGCAGTTATAGAAATAGATATGAGAATTAGCAACATATAAAACTGCAGTAATCTACTTATTTTATGACATTTCCTATCCCACCCATCAGGGGCATAGTGTACAGGAAGATGAAGGATTTCAGCCCAGCCGTTGATGACTTTGTACGAGCCATGCAGCTTTGTAATGCAGAGAGCGGACCTGACTGCCAAGACATGCAGCTACATACAGAGGCCGAGACCCAACTACTACTCACGTACAATGACTTTGCTGTGCATTGCTACAAGAGAGGATTCTACCAGGATGGGGCGATGTTACTGAACAAAGCTCTGAAAGGGGAAAAAAACAAGAAAGAACTTTACATCAACCGAGGAGGTAAGAGACTGATGATAGTTATGGGGCTGCATCTAAAGCAGTGTGCCCCCAGGGCGCTTTTATGATGCCTTTTCTATGGTCAGTGGCGTCACAAGGTGGGTGCGGGGGCTACGGCCCGCACCGGGTAAATCCAAAGGGAGTGACACCAAAATGACTGGCAGTCAATCTGGTGTCATTCCCTCTGAAGTCAAGCACTTGATCATGGACCGAGAGACCAACAGCTGCACAAGAGGAGGGAACCCATCGGCATACCTTATCCCACCGGATGAACTTCCCCTCCTCTCTGCAGGCGTCCGTCACTGAGATGGCCCACGGCAGTTAAGTGCGCTCGACGCCATTACGCGTCCGCATGATGATGTCGCGTGCAACGCGGATGTGTAATGACGTCCCAGTGGGTGACACCCGCCCTGGGGATGCCTCTGCCTGTGGTCACTAATCTGTGTGATTGGTAAGGGTATAATATTGAAAAGGAATGTATGCAATTGATGATTATACTGGAGTTACGGTGAACCTGTCAGTAAGCTCACATCGCTCTCCTCCCGCAGTGCTTGGCCGGCTGTCACTTTCTCTCCTCCCCGCTGGGACACAGAGCAGCCTGACATGTCACAACACACAGCGATAGTATATTTGAGAGTAAATTACAGCTAGAAAATACAAATTATTAGTCCATTAATTGCAAGAATAACAAAAATCTGCAACACATACCTTCAATCCAGAGCTGTTCCCTGCAGTAATTACTACATGACATCACAATATTGTATGATGTGCTCAGTCTTCCAGGTTGGATGTCAGCCAGCATCTTTGAACCCACTTCCTGTGAGCTCAGGCTGTCAGGTATCTGCCCCCCGGGGTTGCATCATCACACAGCCCTGACTATAGAATATGACTTTTTTTTATATTTATTTTAATTTATGAATTCATTTTTTATTAAATATTTTTATTTTTTACTTTACTTTTAGGGGTATCTGGGAAATATTGGGGGTCTAAACAGATCCCTGATATTTCCCTTTTTAAAATATAAAAAGAGACTGGGGACACAAAGTCCTTATTCTCTTTTTCTGTATCCCCTGTTATCAATGATCAGGAATCCTCTATACTGAGTGTTCCTGTTCATTCATAACATGAGCACAGAGTGTGTTTACTATAACCACAATCATGAATGAACAGGAAGTGATGTAGATCTCTTCCCATTCATTAATAATTGAGGATATAGTAACCATACTATGTCCTCAATTATCTGCAAACACTCAGCAATCCCTGATCGCTGAATGTTTGCACTTGCTCTCCTCTCTGACACTCTGTCACAGGAGGCTGAGCGAGCGGAGCAGGGAGGAGATCTCAGCCTCCTGTGACAGCGCAGCCACACACCGCTCTGCCGGACTGTGATAGGAGGCTGAGCGGTGAGGGAGGAGAGACACTGGCCGCTCACAGCACTCTCCTCCTGCAGCGCTCGGCCGGCTGTCACACTTTCTCTCATACCCGCTGGGACACAGAGCAGCGCCCAGCGGGGAGGAAAGAAAGCACGGATGCGCCGATGTATCGGCAGGAAAATGGCACTTTCAGCATTTAGCCAAAAGTGCCATTTTCGGCCGATATATTTCGCCGGCTGATATATCGGTGCATCCCTAGTATATATTTATGGAAAGGGGATGGAGTGAGTGTGTTTTTTGGGTTAAAATATTCAGGGTCTTTTTATTTTTTTATTTAAAAGGTATTCCTGTCTATGAATTAGTATCATTTAATTTATTATCATTTTTTTTTTTTTCTATTTTCAGATTGCTTTTTCCAGCTCGGGGATCTGACCTTTGCCCTGGCAGACTACCAGCAGGCGTTTGAGCTTGATGACGGAGACTGGGGTGTAAGGACTCGTTTAGCTAAACTCCTGGATGATCTGGGATTGCAAGCTCATCACACGAGGTGGGCAATGGTACAGTACACGAGATAAAAGTGGTATATGGTGGTTTTATACATTGGTACTTTGTTTATTGTAGCCAGGGATATTAAAGTATTAGTAAAGGTTATTACTATAATATCAGATAGGCTTTAGACTGTTAATTTAACTTAAAATTTTTTTTAACCTGCAGCTTCCATTTTCCCCTATCTGACCGGTGTGTTAAACCCCCTTCCTGCCCCGGCCATTATTCAGTATTCAGTGCTGAGGTTATTTGACTGACATTTATTCCGTCATGTTCCGCTGTGCTGAAATTATTTCTTTTGGGGGGACAGATAGAAGGGAATTTATCAAAACTAGAGCAGACAAAATCTGGAGCAGCTGTGCATGGCAACCAATCAGCTTCTCCCTTTCATTCAGCCCGCACGGGATCGCAAGGCACATTGTGCCTGCAGTGCGGTCCGGAACGGTGCGATCAAAATGCTGCCAGCACTACTTTGATTGCACCAGACCGCACTGCTTGCACAATGTGCCTTGCGATCACATTGCAGCCGGAGGGCGTGGCTACGGTGTCTAAAATGTCATAGATTTTAAGGGGGACCCCATGCAAAAACACTCAAAGAAGTGGGCTTCTCCATTCACATCGAAGTGCCCCCTTCAAATCAAGATTCCACTCCGTTCACATCAGAGTCACCCTTTGCATCAGTAGCCCCCATGCACATTAGGAGCCCCTCTTTCACATCAGAGTTCCCCTTTACCTCAGGAGCTCCCTTCATCTCAGTCTTCACTCCCCTCTTCAGTCCCACTACCACAACATTTTGAGGAAGCCAGAAGGCACACCAGGGAGCCACAAGTAAATGGGTCAGACAGGGACGTCCCTTATTGGGCACCTCACCCTGAGGTTTTCAGTCTGGCAAATCAAAGGGAGCTTTGGCTGCATTCTCTTTAGTTAACCCATAAAGGTGTGAGAATTCTTTGCCATGCATGTATTATATGTGGTGTGCATATTTATATAGTATTTAGTAGGGATGCACCGATACCGATACTAGTATCGGTGCCGAAGCCGAGTATTTGGCCGAGTACTCGTACTTGCCCAAATTCTCTGATGCCTAGCCCGATACTTCCGGTATCAGGAAGCCGGGCAGCACATCATTACACGCTGCCTGGCTTCCTGATTGGTCGGGAAGCCGGCTCCATGCTCACCTCATGATGAGGGAGCATTGAGCCGGCCTCTCGGCCAATCAGGAAACCGGGTGCCGCGTCATTACACGGCGCCAGGCTTCCAGATTGGCCAGAAAGCCGGCTCCATTCTCCCTCGTCACCTCATGACAAGAAGCATGGGGATGGCTTCACTGCTAATCCGGAAGCTGGGTGGCGAGTCATTACTTACCGCCTGGCTTCCTGAATGGGACTTCCAGTACTCTGTATTCGGTACCGAAAAAAAAAATATCAGTAATCAATACCGGTATCGGTGCATCCCTAGTATTTATCTGACCCCAACCATTAACATTTCCCATAGAGTCTCCTGATATGGTCACTCAATCTGTGCTGCTTCTCCTCTATAGACAGTACCAGCAGGCTGAGCTCCACTTCTCAGCAGCAATAAAGATGAACCCTCTCCTGCCTCAGCTCTATCTACACCGGGCACAGCTGAAGCGTCAGCTGCAGAACCACACGGATTCCCAAGAAGATGCCATCACTTCTATTCTTCTGAATTCAAAAAGTGATGAGGTATGTTACTCTTAGCAATGCAACCAACATTGTATTTTGCGTAGAGGTGTTCCTAAGCATAATTGGGTCCTGCTGCCCCCAATCATTATGATGGGGCTGTTCTTACAATCAGTGACGGTGAGGTTCCTGCCACAGTGAGTTTTTGGGGTGACACTGTCATTTTGTCTGCTGGCCGCCAGTTTCTTCATGATCCTCTTTTTTTTTTTTTTTAAAGAGACACTGTCACCTTGCCCATGCTGGACAAAGTGTAAAGAGCCCTCCCGCCTGCCCCAGCTTTACTCGCCGTGCCAGGGCTCATTGGCAGCTCTTGCCTATGCTGCACCAAGCCCTGAAATCCAGCAGATGGCAGTGAAAGACAAGATCCAGCAACTCTAAGGGGGTTATTCACGAATGAGCCGAAGGATCCTGCCATAGCTTCAGCTGATCCTTCGGCTCACTTCGGCCGTCGCAGCCCGTACAGCACTATAGCCCGTACAGCAGCCGAGCCGCAAGGCATATGCTTCGGCTCGACTGAGCTGAAGTGACAGCTGAAGCGTGGAGAAAGGTTGGCCGAAGCCGACCGATCTCCGCGCAAATGACAGCTTGGCGGAGCCAGCCATCATCTCACAGCTCACTCTGCCCAGTTGTAATGAAAGATCAGCGTCCCCAAATGACCTGGGGACGCTGATCTGTCATTAAACAATAACTGGGCGGAGCCAGCCGTGACACAAAGGCCGGCTCTGCCCAGTTGTTATTCATTGGCCGGGACCTGCTAGAATACTCTGGCAGGTGCCGGCCAATAGGAAGCAGTTGGGTGGAGCTAGCGGTTATGTCACCGCTAGCTGCGCCCTTCTTTTTTTTTTACGCCATCTGTTAGATTTGACATTCTGCGGCGGGATTTCGCCGCGTGCGGTTGGGTCGGCATTTGTTTTTTTTCTTTAAATAATTTTTATTTTATTTTTAATTTTCCTATTTATTTATTTTAATTTTTTTAATCATTTTTCAACTTTTTATTTATTTATTTCATTCTTTTCACTTATTTTCTATTCTGCTCGATACTTCGGTACCTATCCACTCACTGCCGTTCAGCCTCTATGTGAATAGGGGCGAACGGCAGCGAGTGAGCTGCGGGAGCTTCGGCTCAGCCGATCCAGATGTTGGATGGGCTGAGTTGCGGTCCTTCTGTACTTTGGCTCAGCCGAACATGCATGAGGAGCTTGGTAGAAGGACTTCACCATGAAGCATCTAAGCATAAAGTAAATCCACCATGAGAGAAACATGGAGGCTGCTGCTGCTGGCCACCTTCCAAAAAAGCTAGTTGCCTGGCTGTGTTTGGCTTTAATCCTCTGAGTCAAAGGCATGGGGACAAATATGTAGATCAGGGAAAGTCTAACATACAGGAACACGCATTGCTGACTTGTTTTCAAGGTACACGCTCTGAGACCCTTGCCTTGATCGCGGCTTCTCTGCCTAGTGAGTCAGAGTCTTAGAACAAATGCGCGCTTGTTTCATGGCCCTGACTCACTAGGTAGTAAACATAGAATTAACTTGACTCCCCGAAAGTTGAACCTTTAAAACAAGCCAGTGATGACACAGCCGCACAGCTGCCACATTTCTGCATTTACAGGCGGCTTTGAGTGAATGGAGAGCTCTGTATTCACACGGATTTCCGCCTGTTAATGTTTGTTTCCTGGCAGGTGTCACCCACAGTGATGAACTTCTTCCCTGGGAAGTCTCTAGAGGAGGTTCTGAATAGCACACTGGCCACCAGAGCTCACCATCAGCTGGAGAAAAGCCTGAAGAAACTGCCCACCGAATGGGAGGGGAACACGTGAGTAACTCCCTGAACCCCCGAATCTCCAATACCTGACCAGAGCTGAGCTAAGTGGAGTCATTACATAAAGAATGATACTGAACATGGAAAACAGCCTCATAACCCGACTCCATTTTATAACTGCAAATGAAACATTTTGGGGCACAAATCTATTGTGAAGGTGCCCATACACCTGCCGATTATCGTACGAGGGTGATCCCGTGATCGTCCGATAATCGGCAGGTGTATGGGCAGCGTGCGACTGCATCTACTGTGTGGTCACATGACTTTCGTCTTCCTAGCACGCTGGAAAACCCGCCGAAAATCGTACCATTTTCAGCGGGTTGGTAGCGTGCTGGGAAGACGAAAGCCGCACGGGCCGGTGTGCGCAAGCACACACTGCCCGCTCAGCATTGCAATCACCGGCAAGCCCTCCCCTCAGCGATGATCGCAAGTACGATTTGCCTGTCCAAGATAGGCGGGTCGTATGAAAATTTTAATGACCTTACAACCATCGCACAACGAAAGTCGTGCGATGGTTGTAAGGTGTATGGGCAGCTTAACACTTCCACACACCTTTATTTACAGCTTCGGGAATTGAATTTATGTTCCTTCTCCTTCCTGTCATAGCTTTTCATTGTAAAGCAGGAAACAGAATCAAAGCTCTGCTTGTAGGAGTTCAGTAGCACTAGGGATGCACCGATACCGATACTAGTATCGGTATCGGTGCAGATGCTGGGTATTTGGGTGAGTACTTGTACTCACCCAAATGCTCCAATGCCTAACCCAATACTTACAGTATCAGGAAGCCGGGCAGCGCGTCATTACACTCTGCCCGGCTTCCTGATTGGCCGGGAAGCCGGCTCCATACTTTCTCGTCACTACAGCCTACATGAGAGTGGTAACTCTGCTCTGAATTCAGGAGCAGTGCAGCATCGTTGTCACCATCACGTGAAGCTGCATTAGGTGGATCTCAGTGGCAGGATCAAAGAGGTGTTTGTGGGACTTGTAGGGGGACCACAAGTGAACTTTAACCTTCTTGACGGTAATCCTGAGTGTGGCTCGGGGTTAATTTTCAGTACCAAAGGCGGTAACCCCGAGCCACACTCGGGATTACACAGCGCTTCACTTACCTTCTACCTACGAGCAGCGCTGTGTCCTCCAGCCGATGCCAGCATCTGTCTTCAAGGTTCCGTCCCTTGTGAGCGGCCGCGTCGCAGGGGGCCGGAACCAGCGGGTAATTAAAAAAAAAAAATATACAAAAAATATTGGGAAAAATCAGACCGCCAGGGAGGTTAAGGGTAGATTCCCATTACAATTAAGAACTGCATCACATACTTTTTAATGGGGGGCGTTTTGTTCTACTTTAAAAAGGTTTTAGGCCAGGTCAGGTCAACGTAATGACACGGCTAGAGATTATAGAGGCTTTCATTGCTGACGTCTTCTGAAAATGCTACATGCCTGGCATTTATGCAGATCCAGTGACCAGTAACACCTTCTGAGGAACAGACCTATAACTTATATGCAGATCAGGTATAAGGGTTTTTCGACACTGTTTGTGTGTTTCCGTTAAAGGGCAAATCCACCCTAAAGGGGGTGTTTTACATAGTTACAAGTTAAGCCTGGTGGACTGAGTCTGCTCCTGGCTTCTTAGATTAAAAAAAAAACCACAACAGGTAGAATGGGGCCCCTTAGCATGGTCACATCAGGCATACAGACCCTGGAACTCCATTACAGACATCTCAGCAAAAGCAGTGCTTCATAGATAGAAGAAACTCATGTCATGTGGGTTAATGAAGTATCACTTATGGTCTGATCCTTAGAAGGAGAACTACGAGGTCAGGGCTTTTCCCCATAGTTCTCAGGGTCACAGGAGGACACAAACTAGCGTCCTCCCGTCACCCTAAGCTCAGTATATAGAGAGCTACAGCTCGCGGTATACAGAGACGCCGCAGCTGGGACGGATCCCGACATTACTGGTGAGATCCACCCAGCTGCGTGAGTGACAGCTGGCTCTGCCTATCCAGAGGCAGAGCCAGCTGTACCCGCCCCCTCCCCCGTCCGTTCCGCCAGTCAGCGCTGGAGGATCGGAGCGGGGAGG